TCTGAAATCATTCAAATCTAGTAACATTATTGGAACTTCGATTGCATCGATGAGTAAATTAATAACTTCATAGCTGGTGTGTTTTTAAACTTCTTACAATTTCGAAATATAAATCCAAGTACTAAGCGGATAGTATTATTTATACGTTTCTTAAAAGTAATATAATTTTAAAGTAAATACCTAAATGTTTTCTTCACCACTTCTGTTTATATTAACAGTATTAAAACATATCTAAAATTTCTGTAGGAATATTTATACACATTAGTTAAATACTATCATAATAAACATCCTTTAGAAAGCAAATGCTATCAACTTTCACACGATAATAGCCTACCTGCTTATTAGTCGTGTTACCTAAAATCTCGATAAAAAAATACCTGATCCATTTGGGACGCATATGCATTTGTTATGCACCGTATTCTAGTGCAGCGGTCAAAATGACAGAGAGGGGGTATAATCGATTCGAAAACACAAAATTCCCGTAAAGGATAGAGATATGTCTGTTGAGAGTATCAGACGGAGAGAATGCTGGGCGGGAAAGAGAAGATGCACGGTCACAAGGGCGCTATATGGAAAGCTTTGTCGGGGAAATTTTCAGACGTCAGTAAAGCTCTCGCGCTATGCTGTAACGCGGTGTGCAAGGGTTGTTTTTGTTGTTACTTCTTGTTGTCAGGAGACCAAAAGACAAAGAAAATGGTATTGATGTGAGTAAATCCGTTGGTTTTATGAAACAAACGAAAATTATTCAAACGTACTTCAGATACAAAGTACGTTTCATGTTCGAGATGAATAAGCCGGAACTAGCAAAATAAAAGCAATTTTGCTTTTCACTTAATTTTATTATATAATTTTCAGATATTTGTATATAACGGGTCGTTCGCTTTTATTCTAGGTTCTTAGAATTTGCTGTGGAGGTGCTTAATTTTTTGTAAAATAAACTTGTAGTGGATAATAATATTAAAATAAATTTATGATTAATTATGTGCCAACCAATAAATCAGTTGTCCGAAGCAAAGCAATACATGAATAGATCTGATGAAACGGAACGAAGATATTCGTAACTGACCTGGGGACGTTTTGGTTCATTTACCTCAAAACTCCCTTTAAACTTTAAAGAGGATTTTGTGTACACGTTTTAAATTTCTGAGGTATCAAAAGTGTATTTGATTTATATATGACCATGAAACTCATGTAAGATATAATTCTTTGTAAGTAACAATGATTATCAACTTTATCAATTTCCATTTCTGGAAGAGATTTCGAAGAAGAGAATGTAAACCACATCCAACTTTTGAATGAAATTCAGAAATAGAACTTAATTATAAACCACTTCCAACTTTTGAATTTAATTATATATTTTGCTAAATTTTATTGATTTACGGAAAGAAGTGGTTGAATTTAAGATAAAAAAATTAAGATTTTGATGGAAGATTTACTAATTTCTGTTTGTTTTAATTAATAAAGTATCAGTTACGATTTTGTTTTTGTGATATATTCCACATGTTATATATCTGTAGTATATCTGAGCTAAACTGTTGTTTGCATTGTAACTAACAATATAAAATCGATTTACATCGACATATTTTTGTGATGTGTGGTGGATATGGTCTTTGCATATTAATTTAACTCGACAGATTATTTTTTTATTGCTAACAAGCGATATACCATTACTATTGTAACTTTATAAGGTTTAATTGGATTTTTCACCATATCATATCATAAAAATTCTGTTTTAATCAAAAGTTAAATTAAATAATCGTAAAAATCGTGAAATGAATACTTAAAACCAACGCCAACACACGCTCATTTGGATTCAGTAATGCATAAGAAATGTATTTTAGGCAGCATAGGGCAACAATAAATTAAAATACAATTCTGTTATAAGAATCTCAACTTTATGTAACAAAAATCTGATAGGTACAGTTGAATAATATTAAAGTACATTTCATGATGTATTCTGAAAGAGAATTGACGACGTGTTAACAAACCTGTGACCTTAACAGAAAATTAAAACCGATTAGTGTATATAATCAATCAAGGTTTACTACTGTTCCCGAATTTTACAAAAAAAATCACTTACCTTGACCGGCCACTAAAAAAATGCATTTGAAATTAACTCATTAGTCATTATACAAATCAATTACTTACAATATAGTCGCTGTATAGGAACGGATGATCGATCGAGAATAAAATGATTCGGTTTATCCTTTTTATGAAGGTAGTCTGTTATTATAAAAAAATATATAATATTCAATTGCAGTATTTATTTTCCATTTCAAACTTTTTACTGAACAAAGAAATGATTTGGAATATCAATCTCAGTGGGTTAGGTACTTATCTTTTAAGTGTCTAGGTATATCTGAAACGGATTAAGTGAAATCAGATTTTTTACATTTTCAAATACAAGTTCTTGAAACGTTATTATAACATTTTAAGGTGCCTTTTGTGGAGAGGTTAATTAATCATCTTGAACTTAAAAGCCACAGAAGCCTTACAAAATAGGTCACGACAGGATATTAATATCGTACGCTTTACCTTGACGCAAAATGATCCAAATGTTACTTTTTACGTTGTTACCTAACGTACTCTCTATAGCTGTATAATTAAAATGGACTTTTGTAATATTTTGTACATAACAAGATAACCATAATTTAGTACTAAACAATTATAAGTTTATCCTAAATCTGCATCACTTGACCCTACTAAAGTGGATCTGATCAAAATTTTAATTCGCACTGGGAAAAATGTTTTGTTGTACAAGGTTTGATCAAAAAGTAACGGAAATTTTCAAATTGCGCGTGTTGTATCTTGTCTGTCGAGTTGATTCTTTTTTTTTGCGTATTGGTAGCACTGTCAATAAACGTACCTGTCAATTTTTAGGCAGCTGCTACGCTTATAGTAGGGTTATATTTCGATGCAAAGTAGTAAATCATTGCCTGTCAAGGGATCCAGTGCAATACAGTTTTAAGGAGTTTAGAAATTGAATAATTCTTTTATGCATTATGAAGGGGTGAAGGGATCAGTTCACGTCTGGCACCCTGTTTCTACAAAAATCCCTTTATTCTGATAAACTATTTGAAATGTAATTTATTATAAATCCAATTTGTTTTTTAAATTCCACATGATGTACTACATTTCTCTTCTGTGCGCGCCACTGATGTTTACTTGTTTTTTTTTTTTGGAGGTAGTCTCTGATTTACGACCAAGCTCGCCAGATTAGTATTTGACGTATAACCGACCACTTCGATGCATTTGGGCTACTACAGCTACTACCAGAACACAGTGCGTATGCAGCGGTATTTCAGATTTTACATTCAATTTCATTTTAAATTTGAAATGGTTCGTCTTACGCCTCCTAAAAATGATGACACGATTTTCCTTTGATAAAAGACCGACAATTTTTTCCTCTACTTTGCATCGAATACGATCCTACTATAGTTTATGTTTAGCAAGCGAATGAGTTAAGGCCGCATTTCACTGAGGCTGGTCCAGCCAAGTTTGAAAGGCAGTGCAACAAATGAATATACACTCACTCTGGCTGGTATATCAGTTGGTTCCCTCCTGGGTCAGGCGGCACAAGCCTGATTTGTACTAATTTACATTTTAAAGCGGGTCCAGCCGTGCGGGTACTTACGTACCAATAGCCAATAGATTTTTGTCTGTTAGTATCACGTGACTGCCCACGTTGACTGTACAGTCTTAGATCAATAGTCGCGATATTATTTACTTGACTGTACCCGCCAGGCTGCACCAGCCTGTCCGGACCAGCCTCAGTGACATGCGGCCTTAAGACTTACCACAGTGTTTTTGGTGATTTTTTTTTGTGGCGCAATATGGAATGAAAGAGTTTGTCTAATATTTTGTGTTGAAAACGGAATTAAGTACAGCGAAGCGTTCAAAATATTAAAGAAGGCCTTTGGCGACGATACTGTATCACAGCCATGAGTTTATCAATGGGACAAATGTGTCCAAGAAGGCCAAGAAGACATCGAAGATGATCTGATCAAATGTGAAGGTCCTTCTAACCATTTTCTTCGACTACAAGGGAATAGTTCATCACGAATGTTTACTGCTTGGTCGAGCAGTTAACAAGGAGTACCATCTGCAATCAGCAGATAACGAGAACAACAGGAGAGACAATTCGTGGATTTTGCACCACTACAACGCACCAGCACATACCGCTTTGTTTATCCAAATCCAATCCAATTATTCTTGTCGAAACACAACACCGTTGTGATGCCGCAACCACCCTATCCTCCGGACATGACCACTATGACTTTTTCCTATTTCCCAAGCTTAAAAGGATACTTAAAGGATAACGTTTTTCAACAATAGATGAGATAAAGGCAAAATCGCAAACTGTGTTCAAGACGATACCTATTGAGGCTTTCCATCAGTGTTTCTCAAACTGGCAACTCCTTTGGCATAAGTGTATAATATCACAGGGGAGGCACTTTGAAGGGGATGAGATAAAAATTGAAGATTAAATAAATACTTTTTGAGAAAATTAACAACTCGTTACTTTTTGGTCAAACCTCATATTAGATTTTTTCCTAACAAACTAGATCAAGCAGGAACTTTGAACTTACTCTAATCTAATAATTTGAAATTCTATTAATCTTTTTACTTATTTGGAAATGTTTTTAGTATACTTATTATTATATGTAGAAATAATTTTGCATGAAAATGAATTTGAATCAATGATGTTGATTTGGAACTATCGAATATTAAAGGTCGTTCCTGATTCTAGACATATGTAATTTATTCATACATTTAAATATATAAATATTTTTAAACATGCATAATTAAATGCCAACACATATTTATTCTCTTTGAAACAGATTAATATATACAAATCATATGCAAAAATGAACAAAATTATTTTCCGCATGTATATGCACATTTTTTGTCGGAGGTCTCGCTATGCAGTGAAAGTCCAGGTTGCTACTTAGTTGTACCAATGAGAATGTAAAGTACTGATGTTTATTCTTTATTTGCAGTTTACGGCATGGGTCGATGCGGTCATATTCGTCTTTAGTCTTGAAAACGAGTCATCTTTCAACGCCATATACAACTACTACACTAAAATGTCGCACTATAGAAATTCAGCAGAGATACCGCTCATATTAGTTGGAACACAAGGTAGGTGGACCCTAAAAAATGCATTTTGTTTTATCTCTATAATTTGGAATAACTTTTTTTTTTCAGACGCAATAAGTGAAAATAACCCCCGCGTTATAGACGACTCCCGGGCTAGAAAATTAGCTAACGACTTAAAAAGGTGCACCTACTACGAGACATGTGCTACCTACGGTCTCAACGTTGAACGAGTCTTCCAAGATGGTAAGTACCAGCCCACATTGACCAGCTATATGTTTCTTGTACTGATTTTACTTTGTGAAAAGCCTAATTGACTTCAGACCGGACCAACAATTGTAGTTTTCATTAATAAAGCCTTATGTTCAAATCTGAGTTTGTTATTGTGATATACGATACGCCTTAAAGACCATACTGGTGAGTAATGTCATATTTAAATAATAATTGGTTATCAAATACCTGTAGAACGTGTATATTTTTAAAATAAAACTACTCACGAATCTATAAATATTGATATAAGGCTACAATTATTGTTCCCAAATATATAAATATTTTTATTTTACTTTAGGGGTATAGAGCCAATTCAAATTAATTCTAAAAGTGTCTGAAAAATCTTACCAAGTGAAGTTATAGGCACCGGGTGTTTCAGAGTTGAAGTGACAAAAACCTAGGGGAGATTTCGCTCAGCAAAATATGTAAAAAAGTTCATATGAACATGGGTCCGCAACTGCTTCGTTTCCGAGATACAGGGTGTTATTTTTTTTAATTTGAGTTAAAAAAACACTTTAGCCGATTTGAATGAAATTTTTACGGTTTATTAAAACAATTATCATACATCAACTGAACAAGTAGATTTGATCCATAATTTTCAGGCGCATACTCAGCGAGCAAGTCCTTTTTTTTCTAGAAAAGAATATCACCATGTAGTTTTTTTGCGGTTTTTATGTAATATTCATATAAACCCACTAAAACTTTAGTAGTTTTTTTAAAGAAATTAACACCCTGTACCTATCCCAGAAACGAAGCACTTGGGAACCCATGTCATATGAACTTTTTTACATATTTTACTGAGCGGAATCTTCCCTGAGCGTTTATCACCTCAACTCCGAAACACCCGGTATAAGGTTCTTTGACACCAAAATCTAATTTCACAAATTAGTAATTTACTATAAAAATTAAAAATATAAAAAATCACTAAGGTACCTACAATTTCAAAAAATTGTTTTGTTCTAACATCATTTCATCAATTAGTCACAGTAGATGAGAGAAAGGAATTGATATTCTAAATATTAATCAATTAAATTATGTGCAGAATATAAAACATTTTGGAAAAATTAAAATTTTGAAATACAATGTTAATAATGTTAACAGTATGTCTAGATCTTTTTCTTTAATTTTTTGGGTATTTTGTCACCAAAAAATAAAGAAAAAAATTTATGTAAATTGATTTTTCACCTAACCAATATTTGCCCTCCCAAAATTATATTCTTTATACATATTATTCTTTTCTTCCTCTTTAAACATAATAAATTAACTCGAAGTAATTGTAAAAACATTCCTAAAAATGTAAATGGTAAATGGATACCTAATAGATTATATTGTTCTTTGACACCAAAAATCTAGGTGTGCTAAAAATGTCTAACTAATAATAATTACCTACCTACCTTAAAAATAAAAATTAAAAATAAGTCATATCTCATCTATCATTTCTAATTGCATGATGGTATTCATCGAAGATAATAATAATAAAACAATAGAGGATATTTCATAGAAAGTTTACATTATGTATTTAATGATTTCAATATTTTTGGTAAATTTTTATTTGAGATAATTATTTAATTTTTAACTTGCCTATAAAGTTATGAAATCTAGCACACATAGATTTTGGTATAGACTACACTTGATAACATTTTTAAAAAAAAACAGAAACGTAATTTACATTATACTAATACCGTTAAAGTAAAATAAAAGTAAGTACGACTAATAAGACATTATAATCTAAACATTTTACATGAATAAAATATTACCTGAACGTTTTGTTTAGAATTTGTTCAGATGTACATGATTTCAATAAAATTTTATGAAATTATAAAATAAGAAAAAATATATAAATTTTTCTAATATACATATGTAGTTTATTTCTAATATAGTCTATATAATAATAATAGTTTAAAATAATTAGATTTTACTTTCTTTCTCTATTTTAAAAACATAATTAATTTTAACATCATTAATATGTCATTTGTGCCTAGTAATCATTAAAAAAAAAACATGGAATTAACTTAATTAACTATCAGCTCATTTATTATTTGCCATATTTAAAACCTAATCTAATGTTTAATTGTAATGTATTAAATTTATAACTTTTTTATATTATAAAACTGATATACATATAGGGTGTCCCGAAATTAATGCAACAAAATTTGGTCATAGANTTTAAAACAATTAGATTTTACTTTCTTTCTCTATTTTAAAAACATAATTAATTTTAACATCATTAATATGTCATTTGTGCCTAGTAATCATTAAAAAAAAACATGGATATAGACACTGAAATGATTCCAAAAGACATGGAATTAACTTAATTAACTATCAGCTCATTTATTATTTGCCATATTTAAAACCTAAGTAATTTATTAAATTTATAACTTTTTTGTATTATAAAACTGATATACATATAGGGTGTCCCAAAATTAATGCAACAAAATTTGGTTATAGATTTTTAAGACAAATTTAGGAGACCCGTATTTTTTCTTTTTGCCAAGTGGCCCCTTCTTTCGGAGTTACAGCCCCCTGAAATCGCCCCTAAGAAGTCTTTTTTATATCTCAAAACCATGTTGTATGATAATCACTAAATTTGGTACACAGGGGTTTTATGACATGTGGAATCTGATAGTGCTACGTTTTTTGGCGGGGAACCCCCTTAAGACACTTTTTCGTAGGCCCCCTTGTCTTTGGAGCCAAAAAAATTTGGTCACATATTTAAATTTCCTAAAAATTATTAGTCCGCTAGAAAGCCATTAAATTTAGAAACTTTTTTATCTCGATACTTTTTTCATAAAACGCGTTGTTTTCAAGAAAAACATTGCGTTTTACGAAAAAAATATGGAGACAAAAGAGTCTAAATTCAATGACTTTTTAGCTAACTAATAATTTTTAAGAAAATCAAATTTGCGACCAAATTTTTTTAAAGACAAGGGGGCCCACGAAAAAGTGTCTTAAAGGGTTCTCCGCCAAAAAGCGTAGAACTATCAGATTCCACATATCATAAAACCCCTGTGTACCAAATTTAGTGAATCTAGTTCAACAGGGTTCTGAGATACGAAAAAGACTATTCTTAGGGGCAGATTTCAGGGGGCTGTAACTCCGAAAGAGGGGGCCACCTGGCAAAAAGAAAAAATACAGGTCCCCTAAATTTGTCTTAAATTTTGTTGCATTAATTTCCAGACACCCTGATAAACTTTTTATCCTTTTTACAGCATGTCAGAAAATTGTGCAACAACGATTAGCAGCCTCAACATTATGCCTAACTCCTACAAATTCTAGACCATCAACACCAAATAATCATTATCATTCTGCTTCAATGTCGGTACAAAGACATTTGGCGCAGGGTGCCGCACAGGGTAATAACGGATATTCTCAAATAGGACAATCACAAGCACATGTGTCACCTGGACATAACCATACATTATCTCACAAGGTGAAGACAAAATAAAATTTAATTTTTATTTAATTGTGATCAATTTATAGAATTTATTTAAATTTTATGTAACATAATTTGGTAAATAATTTCTGCTCTAGGACTCGGCTAATACTCATCCGTTAGATGTTAGACAAGTACACACCTTAAAGTCGTCATCCCATCACATTCATCGAGACTGTGAGAAAGAACCAGTTTACAGGTCATCTGATGAGAAGTGGAATTCATCCACGTCCACAATTGGTAGCCATGGTTCATCTCAAGGTTTAGTAGTACAGACAGTAGCAACAGAAAATAATAATGTTGCTAAATTTGCCGCACCACATTCTTTGGATAATCTACAGAACCCTCCAAATAGTGCAAAAGACCTACCAACTCCAAATTCTACCCCAACAACTTCTAGAAAAAGTCGGAGAAGATCAAACCTGTTTACTCCTTCCAAGAAAGGGGATGACAAATTGAAGAATGGTGGAGACTTTGGCAGTGGAAGGGCAATTCCTCTTAAACAAGGTTACTTATATAAAAGGAGTAGTAAGCCCTTGAACAAAGAATGGAAAAAGAAATATGTAACACTGTGTGACGATGGGAGGTTAACTTACCATCCTTGTTTACATGATTATATGGATGATATTCATGGAAAGGAAATATCTTTGCAGTATGTGACTGTTAAGGTTCCTGGGCAAAAACCTAGAGGTTCCAAATCTATTATTACCGTAGCTGGGGCCAATTGTCAAAATGCAATCAATGAAGGTCTCGGAGGACTATCTCTTATCGGTAAGATAAATTTTTACTGTACATTTTTTTTGCAGACATAATATTTTGTTACTTATTTTAGGTAAAGATAAGCGTCCTACAGAAAAAGTCCTGCTTAGTGCTTTTGAGACTGTGAAAGATCCAAGTTCCAAATATTCACAACAGGCTAGTGGTGATGAGGGTATGGTTTTATCTAGTAGTAACTCATTCTTAAATGGAGAAATTGCTAAGACAGAAACTCCAAATGTTAAAAAGCGCCACAGACGTGTTAAAAGTAGTGGAGTAAAAAATTCCGAATACGATGGTAAATATATTAAAAATTGTTTACTGCTCTATCGCTTATATTTAATTTTTCCTTTTAGATAATGACGGCTACGAGTTCTACATAGTGTCGTTAGACAACAAGCAGTGGCACTTTGATGCTTCAAATTCTGACGAGAGAGATGATTGGGTAGCTGCAATTGAACAACAAATTTTAAATTCTCTTCAGATGAACGAGTCTTCGAAGGCAAAAAATAATCCAGTGGAAGCTGCGTCTATTCAGTCTATTAAGAGTCGAGTTCCTGGTAACGGCTCTTGTGTGGATTGTGATGCGGCAAGTCAGTATTATTGTTTTTTTTTTAAACGACTGTAATAGGTTTTTAAATTAATTATGTGTTACAGATCCAGATTGGGCCAGCCTGAATTTAGGTGTTCTGATGTGTATTGAATGTTCTGGAATACACAGAAATTTAGGGTCGCATATATCCCGTGTTCGATCTATGGACCTCGATGAGTGGCCGTAAGTATTAACTTCCTTATTTTATCTATTACGTGTTAATTTCATGAAAGAAAATTTTTGTATATTCCTATGTAATATTTATTTTACAGGCCTGGTAACCTTGCTGTCATGTTGGCAATAGGCAACAGTCTGGCGAACTCGGTGTGGGAATGTCAAACTCAGAATAGGATAAAACCTGGTCCAACTTCTAGTCGAGAAGAAAAAGAAAGATGGATAAGGGCTAAATATGAAACTAAAGAATTTTTACCACCTCCTAACAACACTATGCCATTGGGTCAGCAACTTGTGGATTCCGTATGCGCTGCAAATATGAAGGCCATTATTAACGTACTAGCCAGGACAAATGCACAAGAAGTAAACACCACTGTAGGGCCCAGGGACCTACGTACACCTTTACATCTTGCGTGTGCTATGGGAAATATTGCTATTGCTCAACTTCTTATTTGGGTAAGTGGTTAATGAACATGTTACAGTTTAAAAAATTAAATTAAAAGGATAACTTAGTTAAGTGTAGTTTCCTGTAATGAAATTTTTGCTGGAATTAGCTAATTTAAATCGGTAACCTTTTGAAATCTTATTTTACATATGGGGCGTTACGCCAAATTGGACAGTTTGAAAAATTTTGATTTTCGATTTCCTTAATTTTTAATATTTTTAGTACCCCTCAAAAAATACTTTCTGGTAAATTTTTTTGATTACTTGTTCTAATTCACGAAATAATTATTTTAGAGAGTATTTAGAATTAGTTAATATATTTCCGTTGCTCCTTGGAATGATTTATGAAATTTTTGGGTCTCTGTGATTGACTTATACTCCGCGGTCGAAATTATAGAGAGTGACTCATCGCTAGGTTTTGGACTAGTAAGGGGGATGAAGCGTGCCGGAAACGAAAATCCATTGGCATGTCTGCGTAAATGGCAACAAAATATAGAAAATATTGAAAGAAGATAATAAAACATAGCATCTAATATTTTTTTACGGTTTGCTATAACCGGCACTTTGATCAATTTTAATTATTACAGCATTTTAAAACGTCCCAGTTGTGTTTTTTTAATTTATAAATTTATTATAGCCATGGAATTAAGTCCGTTTACACCCACTAAAAAAGCATTTCCCTATTCCCTACCAAGTGCAAAAGACAGAGATAGAATATAGATCGACGTTCAGTGTAACTCAGTCTATAGACGATTATAGATTCTATCGATGTGCGTAGCGAGCATGCTCAAAGATAAATAATATTGAACCGTATAAAAATCATTTTATATTTTATACGCATTATGGTAATAATGTTTTTATATTATGTCTGAGTCACTCTATAATTTCGACCACGGATTATAGCTGTATTGTATCACAAATCTAGTTTTTCTATTGCATCTAAATAGTGTTTCTCAGATGAAAAGAGTGACCGCAAAAAACCTGTGATCTTCGCCCGTTTTTTCACAATTCGCAGAGAATTAAAAAAAATACATAAAAATATGTTTTTGGTCGCAAATTACTTGTCGTAAAAAACTGAAATGGGCATAGCTTTTAGTGTTTTGAAAATTTTAAAGATCTCCCCTACCTATTTAGGGGTTGAAAATGCCAAAAATGAAGAATTTGAATATTACTAATTGATATATTTAGTAATTTGAGACCAAAAACATATTTTTATCTATTTTCTTTAGTTCTCTGCGAATTGTGAAAAAACGGGCGATTTTTGCGGTCACTCTTTGACAGCAATATTTATTAAGATGTGAGACTCTCTTTTAATCTTTTAATTGAATAGAAATTCATAAAGATACTATTATTTAAATAAAAAAAATACTTTGCAAGAAAAAATAGCTGATAAAATAATTTCTAAGCAATTTATAATATTTTTGTGATTTAGCAGTTATAAGGAATGAAAAAAAAAAGAAACACGACAAAAAAACAGATCCAGTCAATTTGTTGACTTTTTAGAAGTCAACAATATTTTACAACAAATTGCAACCATTGCAAATAAAGCTTGAAATGATTTAATTTGTAGGGCCATTATATCGTTTATAAATAATTAGAGATGGGCACTATTTGAAAAAGTGTGCTACGGATATGTCGATGAAATAATGTCCGGACATGTTGGGAAAAAGACTTTTGACCTTGAATCTAATAAGGCACCTATGAGTGACATCATGTTTTCACAGGTCACTGCTTGAGGGTACGCAAAGAAAAATATTACTTTTATTCTAATGAATATGTGTCGATATATTTTACTTATTATCTACCTTAAGACTTTTTTATGCACTAGTTTCTAATTTTCCCCAGACAGCCAATACACTTATTTAAATGTTTTTCCATCCTACTGGATTTCTTAAAAATTGTTTTTGAGCAGAAGTTACTTTTATAATTTTTTTTACTCAATTCAGAAAAATATAACCAAACTTGATTTTGGCGTCATACTTCATTTATAAACTATTTGTGTATTAAATATTAAATTAGGAATCAACTGAATACTATTTACTAATCAATAACTTTGCTAAAAATAATAAAATATGGACATGTAAGAGGTTATATTTTTAAAATGTCTGTTTCAGTTAAACAATTACCAACAAAATTACAAGAAAATGGCTAAATATCTTTAATTTTACATGTACCAACCTCAAAAATTTTTTTTCGGGAATTATGAATGCAACAAATAATTCCGCGCATGCGCATACAACTTTTCAATCTTGAAAAGTGTCGTCAGGAAGACATATTCTCTCTTCACATGTTCGCGGCACATCTCTATAAATAATAGAGATCAATTATACCATCCAAGCCAGGTTAAATTTTAGCAGCATCTATTTTCGTCCCTGTAAATTTTAACGTATTTGGTTAAAATAAACCCATTAAAATTTTTAGAGAATACAGTATCAGGTTAAACAATGGGAGGTTAAAATTTTAACTGTGACCTTGATGTTAAAATTTAGCCAAAAGCATTACAGAATAGACCTGATTAACAATTAAAAAGTATTAAAATTAATCTAAAATAAGTAAAAAAAAGTATACAGTGGCAAAAATCGGTACTTATGATTTATCGAGAAAAATAAAATTTTCAAAAATCAAAAAAAAATAGTAATTATGGAGGGCCCACGACCAGACCGGTCTTAAAAGATGTTAAAATAATAGTAGTTTGAACTAAAAAATTTTCAAAAAAATCGAAAGATTTAAAATTTCAAACTCAAAAATCTTCATCAAAAACACTTAAAATCTCAAAACTTACCAGAAAGGCTCTTTTGAGGGGTACTAAAAGATATCAAAAAATTGAGATGGTAAAGTTAGAACCAAAATATATACAGTGTGAAAGATAAAGCATACCCATTCCAAATCTGTGAAATTAATTATTTTGAATGCATATTATATTGAAATATACAGGGTGTCCCATATAAAACTTTCCACCTGAACATTTCATTTAATATGAAGTTTTGAAAAAATTCCTAAAACACGTCAATTTTTAATTTGAGGGGGACATCGACTTACATCATTACTTATTTTGTAGTTGCCACCCCTTCATAGATCGAGGTATCAACTTTGAAATTTCAAATGGCATTACAGGGCGTATGATACATCGTTTGTAAGCTCTTTTGATACTGACTTTGAATCCGTAAAAAAAATAAAAAAATAGTTATTCGTTTTCAAGAAAATAACATTGAAATTAAATTTTTAGAATTTTATATTTTTATATTTAAAATTGTTTTATTTTAATTTATAGCATGTGTTAACCACTGAAAAGATTTTCATACTTCCATCAAAACATTAATGATTAAACTGCAAAATGGTTTCTACTTCAGATGATAAAAACAATAATAAATGAAACGTAAAGAAGTTCTTATCATAATTTTTTATGAATTCCATTGCATTCCATTCCATTTTACTTTTTTGTTTGATATCATATTATTGGAAATGTATTATTGTTGAAACCATTTTCAATTGTATCAAATCTCATATTCGGCTTACATTCAAAGTGTAACTTTTACATTTATCAATTTTGCATAATGGTTTAGTCGATAATATTTTTTCTTTGTGGAAACTGCTCGAATTTTCAATCAGTTTCATCCTGATCACCAAACAAGTCATACGTACATGAGCCAAATTGTTAAGAAATTTTGGGAAACTGACTCCGTAGCAAATCTTAAGAAAACCAATCCTCGTAACGAATTAATGGGAGTAGGAATTTTGGGCTAACTGACAATGAATCCACACCAATACGTGCGATCATTAGAGCGTACTACAGGGATCCCTAAGTCGAACGTTCATCGGATTTTGCAAAAACATGAATGGCATTTGTACAAAATACATCTTGTGCATTGTTTGAACGAGGACGATCCGGATCGAAGAATAGAATTTTATGATATCATGTCTAACAGAGTTACAGAAAATCAAAATATACTTTACAATATCTGCTTCGGTGATGAGTGTATGTTTTTTCTCAATGGTACACGGAATAGGCATAATATTCGTTATTGGTCGGATGAAAACCCTCATTGTGTTAGGCAATCACACACTCAATATCCAGAAAAGCTGAACATCTGGGCAGAAATATTGGGTAATCACATAGTTGGTCCATTTTTTTTAGATGACACTTTGACTGGAGCCAGCTATTTACATTTTTTGAAAGATCATATTGATCTCATGATCACAGAAATTCTGGAGAATGATGATCAGCTGATGATGATGATTTTGAGCGATGAATTCGGGCTTATTTATATCAGAATTTTCCAGGACAATGGATAAGTAGGCGTGGGGCTATAGAATGGCCAGCTCGGTCTCCCGATTTGAGTCCAAACGACTTTTTTCTCCGGGGACATCTCAAATCAGTGGTTTTTGCAAGTCAACCCGAAAATCTTGAAGATTTAAGACAACATATTCTAAACGAATGTTGGAATTTGACTCCAGAGGTTTTTGCAAATGTAAGGAGATGTTTCGTAGTCAGGGTCCATATTTGCGAAGGACAACTGGGTGCATCTTTTATAAACAATTTTAAATGTAAACATACAAAATTCCAAAAATTTAATTTCAATGTTTTTTTTCTTGAAAACGCATGATTTTTTTATTTTTTTTACGGATTCAGAATCTGCATCAGAAGAGCTTTCAAACAATGTATCACACACCGTGTAGTGCCATTTGAAATTTCAAAGTTGATACCTCGATCTACGAAGGGGTAGCAACTACAAAATAAGTAATGATGTAAGTCGATGTCCCCCTCAGATTAAAAATCGACATGATTTTGAAATTTTTTCAAAACTTCATATTAAATGAAATGTTCAGGTGGAAAGGTTTATATGTGACACCCTGTATGTCATTGCTGCTCAAAGCCTACTGACAACATTGGTTTATACCTACTGGCAGAGAGTGACCTACTAATATGTAGGTGCTATGAAGACATTTAAGGATTTTTTAAATAATAATTTGGCAGCGGNGGAATTATGTTATCTCAAAATAGAAGACACCAAAGATTTCGTCAGTGCTATGCTGATTAAACTGAAGAATACAAAAACAAAGGTACCAAGGTGTTTTACAATTACAGGAAACCTTTACACTATCTTAACACGTTGACTGCGAGATAATCTCAACGTACTTTGTCCGTGACTGCGATACATATCTTCGTGGATATGTAACAAAACATCTTCTGTGTGCGGTACATATCCCTGGGGATATGTAATTTTTTTTACATTTGACCCTATAAAATTAAAAAAAACACAATTATTGCTATAAACTTGCATATATCTGTAACTATATATCCTAGGATACTAACGTTTTCATTCGCAAAGAGTTTTGAAACGAAAATAATAGAAAAATCATTATTTCTAAAAAGTACAGATTCTGCAACTTCCACAAGATACAGTAAAAATGTGATTATTGAGATTCGCATATTTTTTATAATGAGTACATACCCCCCGAGGTATGTACCGCAGTCAACGTGTTAAAAAAGTACTGTGCTCTTCGTCCTCCTAATCTGAAGACAGGCAGTTTTTTTTTAAACTATCAAAACGGAAAATGTTCAAGCCAAAACGTTGGCATCAACAAAATTGGAAACATGGCTAGGGAAATCGCCAAGTTTTTGATGCTAGAGAATCCAGAAAGTTACACGGGACATTGTTTTCGGCGTTCATCGGCCACAATTTTAGTCAATTCTGGCTCAAATCTGCTTGCCCTCAAACGCCATGGAGGATGGAAATCCAGTACAGTTGCCGAAGGCTACGTTGATGACTGTTTGAGAAATAAAATGGAAATTTCAAAAAAGATAGAGTCTTCAGTGTTTTCTGCTGCCACAGAACCAGAACAACGATCGTCTACTGGAATACAACAAGAAAACAACGACCGCACGCTGAAAAACTGCAATAAAAACACGACACCAAAAATATTCTCTATTACCGAAAACAAGGTACACAATAATACTGCTTTTCCCAGCGTAACCTTGAAGGAATGTTCAAATGTTACCATAAATATGAAATATTAGTTTCTTTTGTTAATGTGTTTTGCAATTTTCTTAATAAAAACGAGTTAAATTAAAAGTTGTATTTAATTTATTTTGTTAATGCATTGGCAATTTTAGTAATAAAAACGATTTAAATTAAAATTTGATTTTGTGGTCTCTGTTTGCAGTCGTATAAAAAGTATCGTAAAAAACTCGTTTGAAAACCTGTTTGCACACTCCTTCGACTTGTGGACCTCGCCTTCGGCTCGGTCCACCAATATGTCTCGTTCGTGTGCAAAGAGTCGTTTTCAAACCTTGTTGTTTAATATACTATTACAATATCTGCATCGGTGATGGTACAGTGAATAGGCATAATATTCGTTATTAGTCGGGTGAAAACCCTCATTGTGTTAGGGAATCGCACACTCAGTATCCAGAAAAGCTGAATGTCTGGGTAGGAATATTGGGTAATCACATAGTTGGTCCATTTTTTTAGATGGCACTTTGGAGCCAGCTATTTACATTTGTTGGAAGATCATATTGATCCCATGATCACAGAAATTCTGGAGAATGATGATCAGCTGATGATGATGATTTTGAGCGATGAGTTTGGGCTTATTTGTATCAGAATTTTCCAGGACAATGGATAAGTAGGCATGGGGCTATAGAATGGCCAACTCGGTCTCCCGATTTGAGTCCAAACGACTTTTTTCTCTGGGGACATCTCAAATCAGTGGTTTTTGCAAGTTAACCCGAAAATCTTGAAGATTTAAGACAACATATTGTAAACGAATGTTAGAATTTAACTCCAGATGTTTTTGCAAATGTAAGGAGATGTTTCGTAGACAGGCTCCATATTTGCGAAGGACAACTGGGTGCACAATTGGAGCATCTTTTATAAACAATTTTAAATGTAAAAATACAAAATTCCAAAAATTTAATTTCAATGTTTTTTTCTTGAAAACGCATAATGATTTTTTTTATTTTTTTTACGGATTCAGAATCTGTATCAGAAGAGCTTTCAAACAATGTATCACACGCCCTGTAGTGCCATTTGAAATTTCAAAGTTGATACCTCGATCTGCGAAGGGGTGGTAACTGGCAACTGCAAAATAAGTAATGATGTAAGTCGATGTCCCCCTCAGATTAAAAATCGACATGTTTTTGAAATTTTTTCAAAACTTCATATTAAATGAAATGTTCAGGTGGAAAGTTTTATATGAAACACCCTGTATGTCATTGCTGCTCAAAGCCTACTGACAACATTGGTTTATACCTACTGGCAGAGAGTGACCTACTAATTTGTATGTGCTATGAAGACATTTAAGGATTTTTTAAATAATAATTTGGCAGTGGCAGTTGAATGTAAAACTGTGCATACCACTATCTGTTCCATTAAAAAAAAAAGTATTTTAATATCCTGCAATGTTTCTTTGCTACTTGAATAGCAGATCTATTGATCTAGTGAATTTAAAACTGTCACAAATATTGTAAACTAATATGTGTAAATTTAACTTTTAGCATAATGCCGATGTGAAATGTGTCGACCAAGATGGTAGGACATGTTTGGCTTATGCAAAGGCAGCGGCAAGCATAGCGGCTGCCAAGTACCAATCAACAAACAGTCTCAATGCTGACGTCTCAGCAACAACAAGTAAAAGTCTGGTAGAACTATTACTCTCTTATGGCTGTCCTGAAGTGTCTTCAGTGTCAATTAGTGGCACAATACCTCGGCGAAGAGGTAGTCAGAGTATGCCTCAGTTCGAAAAATTACCATCTAGCGTTATTTAGATATAGTATTGTTTATACTACTAATAAATACTTCATACGACTGATACAAAATAGAAAATAATGTCTAAAAAATGTGTTTAGTCCCTGTTAATTTTCGCTTAACAATTCTTCTGACTATAATTCTTGCTGACTTGTATTCAAAAGTACTTGACACATTTTACATAGTAGAAAAAATATATATTATGTTAATTACAGTTACTATTTATTACCACAAAGCAAGCAGAATGTTATTAAAATGTTGACAAACATCAATGTAGTCTATTTATTAAAATTAATTGTGTATAAAATGGTACTTTCATTCTTCTGTGTATATAGTTATTAATTAGTGCAAATGTTTATCGTCCAGAATGTTTATATTTAGTTTATTGCAATACTAAACGTGACTTGAATTGTATTATAATTTAATTATTATGTACCTGTTTCTTAATTGTATAAATTATTTTATTTATATGATTTAACAGACATCTTTTTATGTGCAGCTCGATTTATTTTTAAATAAAAATTTTGTTTTTAAGTATACAAATAAATCTGCGAATTTTAACAAGGACGCAAAATAACCGACGGTGAGATGTATAAACTTCGTGTTTTTTACTTTTACTGACTAATGAAAAATAGGATAAGAGAAGCAGATGAACAATCAGAATTTTCACGGATACTCACGTATAAGCACTTGTGTACTTACTAATAAACGTATGATTTCTACACTTGTAACTAGAAATCATTGATTTGCACGTTTTCACACAGTAATTTCTATTTTATTGTAATCGTTACAAATGTGATTATTAATCGTAATTGAAACCTAGATGTCGAGACGTAATGTTTGTACCTTGTAGGAGTTTTAAAAAATGAGTTGCGCTGAATGTTTCGTCCACTGTGGTATAAATTTTTTTATCTCTGGCACCCCTTTTTTGTTATGTTATTGATTTATTTTATTATTGTATATATTTTCGCCAAAGAATTCGTATGTAGGTATTGTTTTGTATATAAAGCTAAATTATGTACAGAAATTTATATATGTTGTTCTTCCTTAAAAGAATGTTATAAGTATTTAGTGTTTCATTTAAGTGCCTCTAATCAGTCCCAGTATAAGTTTTTATATATTGGTGATTTAAATTAGAAACTATTTTACTCATTGCCATGATTCAAGTATAGTGCCTTAATAAATCCCCGAGTCCCATGTGACCAGATTTATTTTGGTGCTCAATGAATTTCATTTACTTAAGTCGGTGTTTCAGAAATTACCAAGGAAAAATCACCAACTAGAGCTATAGATTAAATGTTAATTCAGAACTGTCTGTAATTTTTCGTGATTTTATGCCTGTTCTTTGTGCAATTTAGCAGTGTTTACCAGTAATTCTGTGCTTTTCTTGATGTTGATCTTTGTTGAGTTGAAAAAAAATATTCATTTCAATATTTTAAGGTTATATTTCATTTATTACATTCTTATTTCTTGTAGATTTGTGCAAAAATGTCATTTACACTGAAACAAGATGTTTAAAATCCACAAATTAATCCTTATTAAAAGATACGAGGAAAGTAGTTATTTAAGAGTGATTCTGGACTACTTCAGGGTGACTACAGGCCACCACTGTGCTACCGCTATCCAGAGCTGGCACCAGGTCTCCAGCAGTCATGGTGACGATGTCCTCTAAGGTCACGCTGAAGAAGTATCATTGTCGATGGATCCCATCTCTTCTGCAAATCGGATCCCCCACCTCACTGACACTTCTTCAGGTTGACCTTGGAGGACCTCGTCGCCATGGCTGCTGGAGACCTGGTGCCAGCTCCGGATGGCAGTAGCCCAGTGGTAGGTAGCTTGGATTGACATTGAAGTTGTCCAGAATCATCCTTAAACAACTACTGAGGAAAAGCATTGTATTTGCAAGGCAAGTCAACAGGCAGATCTACTGTTTTAACAGAAAATGTTGTTGAAGATATTCGACAAGAAATGCTGCGAAGTAATAAGAAACCTGTTTCACTGTTATCTACTCAAACAGGTACATACTGCGATAAACTTAATATACTTTGAATTATGTACGTTTTTTAACATAAAGCTAATAAAGTTAAAATTAAATTCCACACCACAAACCACTACTTGTGGTTTGGTAGGGCTGGTTTCTAAGGGCTACGTACACAACCGCGCTTCCTGGAGTGTCGTCGAAGGGGGTAACACTAGCGATCACCGCCTTCAACGAGGAGAGCTTGCAATGGCTAAATACAACTACGGCAAGCTTGGTGCCTTGGGAGGGGGCTAGACTCAGCGCCGTTGACCTACTTAAGTTCACTAAGTTCATTGTATGGATTCCGGGTCATCCTGATGAACCAGAAACCTACATGCGTCGTCTGGAAAACCAGAACGGGAAATTGAGGACAGGGGTCTGGAGGCTAATCAACCACAAGGTTGAGAAGAAGGGCCAGACCCTTGTCCTCTGAGTAGATGAGATGGGTGTGAAGGTATTGCAGAAGGAGGGCTTCAGACCATTTCTGAACTTCACCAGGGTCCTTTTTAGGAACCTGGAGAAGGTCAGGGTAGACTTTGGTCCTTCTGATGAAGATCAGGAGGGACCAAAATCTGAATCATCTGGTCAAATTCCATAGTGAATACAAGCGAACATTCAGCACAGTTGAGCGGCATCCGCTGCTCTCTGTGCCAATGTGGCGCGCGCGAATGCGGATTTGGCTTTGATCCAGGAGCCCTGGGTACATGGATCCCGCATCAGAGGATTGCAGGTTAGTAATGGTGGCTTACTGTATTGTAGCTATCAAACTAGACCTAGGACTTGTATTTATTACAAGAGTAATATTAACATCTTTCAGGGTTCTGTACGGATGACCTGGTGGCGGCTGAAGTAACTTATGTAACGCATTTCATGTATCTTATTTTTTGTTAAATTAATTATTATTACAGTTATATTTTGAAAAGGGCTAATAATAATAGAGCATTTTTCCTTCATTAGTCCATTTCTGAATTTACTTTCTAGGACTAAAACATAAAGAGTGATTTTTACCGAGTTGGTAGCTGCTTCTCTTTTGACATGATATATTTTTTTCATTATTTTGTCATATTTTTGTTAATAATAATATACAAGAAAACGATAACCAATAGTTATCAAATCGACCGTCATCTCTGTCACACACTTTGAACCGATAAGAAAGGCTACTCTACTACTAACTCGATAGAAACAACTCGGTAAAAAACGCATGGTGTGTTTTCATATTAATATGGGTTAAGATACATATTTCATCAAATGAAGCGGCCACCGCCAACTTACCAGAATCATTTTGTATTTAGACCCCTAATGTAGAATTTTCAATTAAATAATATTTTAAATGAAAATTGTAATTAAACTACTTAAAACAGCAATAATTATGAAAAAAATTGTCCAACTTTCATGAGGCCTGAAAAGCGTTGTACCTACATCCTACATCTTCAGTAATTTTTTTAATTTATGAGGGTAGAAGTGGCAATCACTTTAATGCCATTTTTCTTTTTCATTATTTAAATGGGTTAATTTAAAAGGTAAATTCCTAACAAAGTTCAAGTATGATATCTTCCTTATTTGGATATCCATCATCTATCAGATATTTTGTTTTTGATATACTATACATGTCAAGGAAATGATAACGATGATGAAATTGTGGTAATTTTCCTTAAATCCTGAATTTTTTGCAAAAATCGACTACGAATAGGTTATAGAAAAACACATTCAAATGCACGTCTTTTTTACAATTTACGTTGCAAAAAGTTTTCGAGCATCTTCAAAAATTCACCTATCTTTCCAATCAGGCTGGAAATTTACCTCCTAGTAGATCTGGGTCGCTCATGAACGACTCGCACGAATGTGCCGGCACATAATCTTGTGCCGTGAACGAACGACTCGCAACGAAGGAGCTAATCGTTCATCGTTCGTACAGGCACCTAATCTGTGACTGGCACTGAGCGAGCACTGAACATTGAACGAGCCGAGAGCCGAGCTCGAGAGTCAGAGGTAAATACCACGACTCACGATTGGACTACATATGTGTGAATTCTCCATATAACGTTGACTGATTATCACAACAGAAATATAATTTAGGAATAAGTGAACCGCAAATGTAAAAATAAATGTTTATTATTAGAATACTGTAGAATATTTTAATAGGACATATAATTGTTTAAAACTGCAACAAATTATTATCAAGATATTAAAAATAGAATAAAGTTTATTTCTCCTAGGCATAAATAAACGGAAAAATTATTAAATTAACAAAATCATCTCAAATGCAGTTATAGGTAATAGTTAAAAAAATGTTTGCAAATTATGTAGATACCTATTACAAATTATAATTTAAAAATATAATTTGTGAGACTTTTTCACCTTGTAAACTACTTCGTTTAGCAGTAACAATTTGCCCTGCTTTGGAAAAAATCCTCTCACACGGAACAGATACGACATGTAATAAATAAGAGTTGTTAAATTATATAGAAAATAATAATAGAGAGAAATAGTTGTTTTTTTTTAGGTGGTTTTCCTAGTTCTAAAAAAAGAACATAAAATCGATTAGCCATCATTATATATGAAGGCGAAGGAAGGTGTAAAGATTAGGATCATTTGTAATAAACACGATTTTGTTACTTGTCAAAATATTTTCTGAATAAGTGCAACCTCTCACCAGTTGTGCATATTAGGCACAGCCACAACTCGAAAGAGCAGGAGTGAGCAAGAGACGAGTGTTTACTTGAGCAATTGTCAGCATAGTCAACTCAACATTCAACATCTTGCACGTGTCGTTCAAATGAACGACTCGCATTGAACGGCACACTTAAATGAGTTGTGCCGCACGTGCCGACACATCCAAAATGAACGAGCGACCCAGCTCTACTTCTTAGTAACATTCCATTACGAACTGGGGTCACGCTTGACCTAAACCAGGAGTTTCCTCCCTGTACTCCGATCTACATTCTCGCACGCGCAGAACCAAGAAGTCGAATTTCACGCATCTTTCCGAACTTCATGCCGCTGCCACTAATCAATCGATCCCAGAGCCCCACGACGTCCCGGATGGTCTCGATCGCACCGCCGTAACCCACTTCAGCTTCCAGAGGGATCGGCCGCCAGAGCCGATAAAGTGAGGAAATCGACGATCTTTCCACTTTTCGAGCCGCTACCGCTGTTCGATCGTTCCCAACGACTGAGTGCCGACGTTCTGGATGGGCTCGTTTGGACCGCCACAACCCAATTCAACCGAATCTGCGTCGAAAAGGACCATATCTCCGCTGGATCGGCTGCCAGAGCCGATAAAGCAAGAACATCGATGAACTTTCCATATTTCGAGGTGCCACCGCTTGTCAATGGTTCCCGGCGACCCTCGATGTTCTGGATGGTCTCATTCGAACCGCCGGCGCCGTAATCTAATTCGACCGATTCAGCCTCCAAAAGGGCCGTATTTCCACTGGATTCGCCGCCAGGGGCCGATAAAGCTGAAGCCCGGAGCTGCCCGTCGACACGCCAATTCGGCGACAATTAATGCCAAATCGTCATTTTCAGACCCAACACCAGCACACCCCGAGCGACCACCAGCGCGACCCGGAGCCGACATTGCCGACAACGAAACTTTTTCTGACACCCTTTCTGCGGAGCCGTGCCAGAAGATGGGGAGATTGGTCGTCTGAACGAGATGTGTTCAAACGTCGACTCTGGGCATTTGCAGTCTATCAGGTGGCCTGGAAAACCACTCAGCGTGTGCACACAAAACTCTCATTGAACTCCAATAGCTGCGAAAAGTACTACAAAAGTGTTGTAACTAGATCGTTCCTTACTCCGCTGTATTTTCATGCACATGTCATCATACATGCAATAAACATATAAATACAGGTTTAGAACTATTTAAAGGGAGACTACAGGGATATCGGAAACCGTTAGTCATACAGGGTGGCTCAAATTACAAAAAAGTTATGGGGCGAGTGTTTTGGTGAAAACAGATCCAAGATATCTTCGATAGTTTCTGAGATATCTCGAAAAAAGTGAAAATATCGATTTTCTATTATTCGTTATAACTCATTTGTT